AGTTGCCCTGTGTTGGCACTAGTTCTTTGAGGGTAACTGGGTGTGTTATGGCTTTATGGCAGTTTGGATGTCTGTCTTTAGAATTAACTTTACTGCCAACTAACAATAGCCAGAATGGTTGATGGAGATTTCCCTGAATGTTTATCTTGTGTATTCAGTCATTACTAATTCTCGTCATTAGAATTTCAAAGATTAATGTGTAGTATATTTATCTTTGAGAAAAATATAGTAATGCAGGGACAAGTATTGATTTCATGTAAGTAATTAACAAGAGCAAAGCAAACAGCCAAAAGAAAAAGAAGAACGAAAAACAAACAAATCATCTACCCATCATAACTGTACAACATGACTAAGCCAGTCTGCAAGTGGTGTCATTAGTCACCCCCACATTTGCCATTTGTCAACTCATGAGGAAAAATAAGATCGCAGTAACAATGTTTATCTCACTGGAGGAACCACTCAATTTCTTTAATCGAATGATTCCCAATACCTGACAACGAAACTACATTTTATATGCTTAATGCATCTTCATCAGAGTACCACTGATAACAGACGTGTCTGCAGGCATGTATGGCTTTTCCATAGTGTCTGATTAAAACAAAAACCTTTATACTCTCAAGCACTTGTTTGCATGATTGCCTTTCACGCTGTTATTTTTAGACAAATAACTGTACGCCATTTATGCAGGTATAAGATTGTAAACTTAATTGTTAATAAAATGTTAATTCGCATGTTAAGATGTTAATTTGCATATTTGTTCTTTAAATTTTAAGAAATCATTGTGATTTTGATCAATTGTAAATTGTATTGTTAAAAAAATACAGATGTAGAAAAGAGAGCTAGAGAAAACAAAAAGAGCTAGAGAGGATAGTGTTTTAACAATGTTAGAAGAACTCAATAAAGAGGATGGAAAGAAAATAAAAAACATAAGAAGGTACAAGATTCTTCCCCTTTTTACATCTGCATATTTAATTTCAGTCCAGCTGCTTCTACCTGTGGACTATATCAGCTAAACAACCAAAAACACAAGTTGGCATGCATATGAGGCACAGAAGTATGTACCTTCTTTGACCAGGTTCTCATTGAAGAGGCTGCTAAGAATGGATGCAGAGATATTGCCGTTGGCAAGCAGAATTCCTGTTAGCATGGCCAGCTTGTTGCGCTCAGACTCTGTGAAGCCCTTGAGAAACAGCAGCAGCTGCCACAGAGCAAACATATAAACACAGACCTTTAGGCTGAATTGTGAGTCAGACATATAAATATTGGGTTTGAATAAAATGGTCATGAATTCAGAAAACTTGGCCTAGACAAGTGCTGGATGTTCTTGTAAAAATAGCTTTAGCAAAAATACAAACCTTTTTAATTTCCTCCTCAAATCCTTTCTCCAAGTATTTGTAACGCCTGATGAGCTTGTTAAAGACCTGAAAGGAAACACAAAACATGTTTCATTATTTGCGCTAAATTTGATTTTTATCTTTCTTTTGATAACACTGAACAGTGAACAACACTTTGGTATTCACCTGTGCATATGCCTGCATGGTCTCCATGTCCTCTTGTGCTTTGAAGAGACAGAAGTCTGTGCATGTCACGTCGTCCGACAAGGTACCCCCTGGGGCTGTAAAGAAACACAGTTTTTTTCAATTTTGTGAGTGTTATGTCTCAGATGAGTAGCTTAATTTTTTTTTTTTTTTTTACAGTTTATGTCTAACAGTTGCAAGAAACTGAATAAGGAATATAAAAGTATTTTTAATATTTCCATTGTTTTAGCTATGGTATCCAAGTCAAGACACCACTGCGGGCACTTGTTTGCTCTTATCCTGGCTAGTTTTAGTCTGATGATGCATATAGCGCTTAGCTGTATAACTGCCGAATTTTATCTCCATCACAACAATAGTTAGGGCTGGGCGATATGACTTCATCATCAATATCACTTATTTCAAACAAGGGCTGATCGATTACAAAAAGCCTAAAAAGTATCAAAACTGATGCTTACAACCTAGATATTAATTCAGTTAATACTTTCCCAAACGTGTGCGTTCAGTAACTGCCCTTCAAAGAATAGTACCTTGTGTTCAGTCACGTGCCTCCGCTCCATCCAACTAACGTAAGTGTGCATTCACTCAAAGCGAAGCTGGTGATATTTATGACACAAGTGCAAACACTGAGCCTCAGGCTATGTCCACACTAACACATTTTTGTTTTAAAACGCATCACTTTTGCTATGTTTATGCCGGGCATCTGCGTGCCTTGCCTCCTGATTGGGTCTTATCAGTCGAGACTACCAGACAGTGGTGAATACAACATGGATAGCAGTCATAATCACATTGCTGAATAGGAAGAGTGCACGGCTACAAAGTAAGGGGAAAGTATTAACTGAATGAACCATGAGCACATTTAAGTTGGTGAGAGTTTCTGTTTTTCAAAAATGTCAGTTTTGATACTTTGTAGATTAATTACCCTGCCCTAACGATAATCACGCTAGGTGTCCTGCCACTTACCCAGCATTCCACCAGCCACCAGGATGTCGAACAAAGTCTCAGCATAGCGTCGGTAGTCAAGTTTGGCACCAGAGGCATCAAGGAACTTTGCAACAGCTTCCAAATCAGTGCCAGTTTGGTTCAGACCTTGTATGATACTTTCCTGAAACTGGGAAGGGTCGAACCTCTCCTTTTCATCTGTTGAAAACACAGATATTAATTTCGGTTTATCCCTTCCATGTACTGGTGATCTCATGATTCTAAAAGACACATCCAAAGCCATACTCAGGATGTGAACATCCACAGATTTACACACTTCCTTATTTTGCACAAGGTAAGATGTATAGGCCAACACATTTTTAGTTGCTGTGTGAGCTTACTCTTCAGTGGCATTGAAGAATAGATAGTAATTAGTGTATATTCATTTGCCACACAACAGTTTTGGGCCAGATACCCATCTTTATGTATGTATGTATGTGTTGAATATTAAGTGAGTAAACAAATGAGCATGTTCCTCAGTTTGATCACTGAAAACACAATCATATTCCTGTGTTGTTGATTGTAAGCAGGTAATAGGTGAGGTGTTTCTCATGGAACCTGAAGGAGACTTATTGGTTTACAAACCACTGATAAAGGCTATCCAAACAAAATATTCAGTTCTAGTGAGAACAACTGTGTGATTTTTGCCTTAAAGCTTCTTACCTCTTTTCCGAGTTTTAAAACGCTGGCCTGTTAGCGTAGGCTTCTGCTGCCTTTGATTACTCATAAAAAACTCTCTGTAAAGCAAAGGGGAAATGAAATAAGAACAGGATTAAGACAATAAAATGATAATCATTTTTCCATCCTCTGTGCTCCCTCCATCTATCTGTGAAAACAACTATTCCTGCCATCCCTTCATTTTATTAAAGAAGTGGGGCTTATAATGACACACATTCTACACATATTCTGCACAGTGTTATGTGTGTATAATCACACATGCATTGTGAGTTAAAACAAGCCAGGGGCATGTAATGATCTTTGACTGATATTTGTAAACGTAACAGTTCGAGGTAACTAACATCTTCAGCACTGTAAACGTCACCTCTAGTTAAATGAGATCTGGCGTATTCATAGCGAATAAGTTGGACCAGTGTTCACTGTTACGATGCAAAACGACACGACATTAGTTACCGTTACGTATTTCCAAAAACACTGGCTTAGCAAAATCTGAGTAAATAACATAAAACTGTGACATAAAAATATAGGTTTCTGAAGGCAGGCAGAGCCAGCACTGATGTCCGACTTCCGATAACACCTGGTAGCGCTCAGGCCGCTTCAGCTTGATGTATTTTCCAGCCGCAGTGCCATAGCACGCTTACATATATGACCACCCACTCAGTTACATCAACCAAAAACAATCTCCAACTCACCGAAATCCTCTTTATGAGCAAAAACAGTCCGTGAAATAAAAACTAATACCACCGGACACTAGTTCCGCCAGATTCAGGGAAAAGGAAATTGCAGACACATCAGCGCATGCGCGTTAGCACGCACTCTATCTGGGTCACCACACTTTGTGTGGGGAGAATAGAGTTCGTAAACTCTTAAAAACTGAGAAAATGTTATCTGAGTGAAATAACCGGGGTAAATTTACTAAAGAATGTAGTAGTTAATAGAATATGGCTGCATGCCTACTCTGCCTGTTATGCAGACTTGATGAATACAACTACAACCCTTGCAACCCCCCCCCACTTACTTTTCGAAGTCATTTAGATAAAGAGTGAATGAAGTGAAGAAATACAACAACTTGAACAGGATAAGTTTCCTGGCAGTTAGAAACAAGAGTTAAAACTCTCTCTATTAACACACGAAACTGACCCAGATTTTGTATCATTAAACAATCGGTCAACATGTCGATGCGATTTAGACTGAAGACACAGGAGGGGGGTGTTGTGCTGTCGGGTGGATGGCGTATCTGTCTATGGGATGAAGGGGAAGCCTTAATGCTGCGTTACCGTTCGCCTCGTAAATCGTGGATCTAATTCCAGGAACTTTTTTGAACATGTTCAGTCAAATATTCTTTTTTTAATTTTTTAATTTTAACCAAAGATGGAATTTGTAATAAGTCTTATTAGATTCATAATAGTAGATCAGATAGTTTAAAGCACATTACTTCCAACCCACATCCATCATTTATTAATTTATTTTCCAGAGTCAATCTCCTGTAAGACAAACCCACCTTCTTCATCATGAAAGTCACAAGATGTAAAAATATTTAGTCATGCTTCCTGAATGTTTAGATATATATTAGAAAATGGCTGGTATTTTTGGTGGCCTATATGTTTGGCGGGGCTTAGGTTTTGAAAAGCTTGTGTCCCCATAATATAATCACAACTAGATTCAAGAAAAGTACTTGTACAAAAACAATGAAATGACAATTATTCCGACAACATTTGAAGGCATCACAACCCAGTCCAGCCCCCCTCCCGCACTGGAGGTGATTAGGGGACGCTGGACTAGCCCAGTGACGCCGCTCCAGCCGCTCCCTACGCCCGGCGGACCCTTCAGGCTCAAGTCCACCCAGAGCTCCATTCAAAGTGCTGAGATTCGGATGAGAGCCACGTCCAGCTTCATCCAGCACAGCAGACACGAGTTGAAGTAAAGGCAGCGGGGAAGGGCTTCAGGAGCCACTCCAGACTTGGGGAATCACTTCTGGGATCCTACTTTTGTCCGTAGAGTGGATTTAGGACAAGAGGGAGCAAGTCTTGCAGAGATAAAGAGGCAAGTTTGACATCTTCTCTTTCTCGGCTAGATGCAGAAAATGTTACAAATGCGAGCCCTTTCTTTCTGTTTGGGTCTGTTTTGATCCACGGTTGCACCCGCGGCAACTTTTCTCAAAAGTTAACTTTGCATGAGACCGTCTGCTTCCCAACTCATTCATTCCTCGTTACTTCGAGGAGGAGGAGGGGGTTGGGATTTTTTTGTATATTTTTCTTTCTCTTTGTGAACGAATTGTAGTGGTTGGAGGATAAAACTTGCAGGGCAGGTTATGTCCGAGTTCAGTTCGGCTGTTTGTGTGTTTCTTGGTCCAAACCAAAGCTCATTAGGCAATGTGAATAAAAAGTGTGATCGCTAATTGCCTACATCTGCGGGATTAAGCACCATCTTTGTCATTCAAGAGTCAACAACTGCAGACTCCGACGCAGAGGACAGTAGCAGATGCTCTTAAACTCCTTGCGAGTTCAGTCTTTTTAGATGCTGCGGTCATCGGCGCTCGTGCACAGCCAAAGCAGGAACAATAACTGTAAATAGTATCATCAAACATTCGTGTCATGAGAGGAGGGGGAAGGGGGGGGGGGGTATAAACTCTGTCTCCACTTTAGGATAACTCTAAAAGCCACTATTCTTCTTTCATGAAGATTATACCCATAAATTACGTAAACTATGATCTGTGGATACACTTGAATCTAAAGTTAAAAACATCCATGTCAGCTGTAAAAGTGGCTGAACTGACTGAAGGTGCAGAAGGTCCAGTGCTCCCCTGAGATCATAATGGAATACATTACCGCATGAATAAAACTATTCACCTCTCTGAGAAACATCCCAAAGTTCCCCCCTTGTCAAAGTTGACTTGCTTTCTCTCTGCTGAGGTCCCCTGTGGGATCCAGTCTGGAACTCATAGAATGAAACAAAGAGGGGAATACCATATGGGAAGAAAGCTATGGTGGCTTAAGAAAAAAAAAGCTAACACTGTAATATTAAATACACTGCTATTACATCAGATAAAAAAGATGGCTAAAACCACAGAAGTCATTATACTATCGGAAAAATTCTACAAAGTCCTTATTGAATGCCATAAAAAGTATTTTTTTTATGTATTTTAGGAATAATCCTTTTACTATTGGTTTCAACACAGTCCTGTTTAGCTCAGACTTGCATGAAAAATATTTGTTAATGCATGAATGGGAGTCGATTTCTAACAGACCTGATTTCAGATCAGAGTCATGGCCCACAGAAACTGCTGATTGTAGTCAGTCTAAACATAAATTAGTCCTTGACTTTGGCTTTGAATTTATTTATTTTTTGTCCCAGACTATGAGTATTTACAGTCTATAATATTCATGTTTCAGAAGTATGCAGACATAACTGATTCAAAACACGAATGCAGTGGAAATGTAACAAACTCACAGGCTCGTTCTGCTTTAAATGTTCTAGTTTGTGGTTTGATTGCCTTGTGATGCAAGATTGTTTCTGCTTTGAATCCTGCAGCTTTTCAACTCATAATTCCATTTGTGAACGTGAAATCCCAAGAGGATCAGATAAGAACTTTTTTTTTTTAAGGATTGTGTTTCTCTCTTTGTGGTTTTCCACAAATATGTCCCGCCTCTGTTGGCCAGAGTCTCAGTTGGGAAACCAGATGGGAACTTTATTACCCGCACTGATCAAACAAACAGTGATGTAAGATGACTGTGAAAGGTAGTGTGTGGTAAGCCTTCTGAGTTACAGAGAGACTCCTGGAAAAAGTAACAACCGTTTAGCTCAGACTTGGATGATGGCAGTGTGTGGGACTGTTGGCCAGTCTAGTAGCTCTACTCAGTGTGAGCTTGTTGGCCTGTGTGTTTTAAGTTGCAACAGCTTTTTCTAATGTGCCAAAAGCCTCTTCATGAACACCGTGGGGTGAGATGCTATGGTCTAATGTGGTGTGTGTAGAGGACCAAAGTCCCTCAGCCGGTGCCATGGTGATGAATAGTGTTTGAACTTGTCTACCCGTGCAGCTTAGTGTAGTGAGGCGTGTGTCTTGTGTTAGCCCTGCATCAACGGAGGCAGACAGGAGCACACATATGCAGATCCACTGACTGGACCTGTAAAAGCCTTCAGCAGGCTCTCTTACATGAGGATTTTCTGATGCCAGGAAGCATCAAAACTCCTCTGAATGCTACATAGCTACCTTTTTGCTATAAAGCAGATCTTATAGTGAATTTAAAAAATATCTTTATGTTAGTTTGGAGTAAAAAGGGTAAAACTCACACATTGTCTTCAAATTCGACATCCTAACAAAGAGCTTTTCCCTGTGCTGTTTCACTCAGAAAGATTCCCAGCCCTGCAACTTAACTGCTTAAACTTTGTCTTTTGCCTCTCTTAAGCGACCCAGTGTAATAATACTGTACATTTTGATTCAGCTCACTGTTGCTTTGTTAAGTCCAGTACAGCTGCTTTCTCCATTCACTTATGTGAAACCAAGCCAGACCAAGTGTTTGACTGCCTGTTGTGCAGACATCGCTGAAGCTGCCTACTAGCTGGAACATTTGAGTGTATTCATGTAATACAGTGAAAAATGTTGCAGCCTTGCAGCCTTCTCCTGTGTGCAGTTATAAAAAAAGCAGATGAGTCACTTTAGAGCTGTTGTTACTGGTGAAGTTCAACATTGTGAACCCTTAGGAACAGGAAAGAAGAACATTGATTGCATTAATTGTAGAAAAATACCTTTTGTAGGAAGGGTTAGGGGTTTTTTTATGTAAAACACTACCCTCACCACCTAAGTAAACCCCAGTATCAGGATGCAAGTGTCCGGTTGCGACAGTAGCAACAGTGTCTCCATTACAGTGAGAAATCTGGACCTGTCATTGTTTAGATCTTTTACCTCTCTAATCCTTTTAAAGCATTACATGCAATCTGTGTGGATACATGTGAACATGTTTTATGTTCTGTTGGTTATGGAACATTACTTTACATTGCTGTTTAGAGCAGCCAGTTGAAAATGTGTCTAGCACAAAATTAGCTTCCACCTGTTTTGTGATGCAATTTGAAATCGGTCGTAAAAGGCTCATAGCTTTCACATAGTCTATCCATTGTGTGCAGATCAGGGACATCTTGGCACACTTAACCAGTGCTGTCCCATTGCTCATGAAGAGAAGGGGAGGAATGGCAAACATCAATCTGTTCCATTTGTGAAAATACATATAAAAAGCCACTGATTGCTTGATTTCAAGGGTTTTCTTGATAGCATTACATATTTATAATGAAATAAGCATCCATCAAAGCATAGGGGTAAATAATAAAATAAGATTCCATTTAGCTTCTTCTGTTGTCCTCATATTGTGCATGATGGCTCACTGTCACACTTGAGTAAACCAGGGCCTTCATTTTATTTCAACTGCATTTTTTTGTGGCAAATTCAGTTCATTCCAGTGGAGTTGCCACGATAATTGGATTCACTTGCGGGGGATAAGTAAACCCAAGCCAGTTTTTCACATGAATCTCAACTTGGGGGAAGTTTGACATGTGAATTTGCACCATTGACTGATAACAAGCTGTCTTGACAGTGCTGACCTTTTGAGGGATGGTGAGCCAGAGTCCAAAACGGAGTAAGTTATTGTAGCTTATTAGTTCCATTGCACCTTTCACTTTTATTTAACCTCTTCTGTTAGAGTATAAACTGCTCCACAAAAGAGCAATGGTTTTCAGACAGGAGTCAATGATACAAATATGTGTTTTAAATAACTTGTGTGAACTTTGTCTGTATTAGCAACCAAGCTGAGCTAATGAGCTTGCTAACTGACCATTAGCTAGCTTGATATCCAAGAGAGCTTTATTTCCACAAGTTTTCATTTAACCAAATGGTGTACTGTGGTGACCAAATGTCAGGGGGTGTAAGCAGCACATTACAGAGAAAATAGAGAGGAAGCTATTGAGGCCAACTAGAACTAAACCAGCTGGATAGTGTATAAGCGGTTAGCTTGCCAGATATAGCAGTTCAGTAACTAGATTAATTTTGCTGTGCCTACAAATCAAAATGTCTGCTGTGAGAAAAGCTGCCTAATGATCACATTTTGATTCAAATGATGTTAAAACCTAATTGCTGTGTCACCTTTTTCCAACTGAACCCCGCCCACTTCAGATCAGTGAACTGCACAGCCAAAAAAACTCAAATACAGAAATCACTCATGTGACATTACCAGAATTGTTCCAACTTTGGCAGATCATTTTGTGATCATGTCGGAAGTAATCTTTCACAGTAAGAAGCTGAAGAAAATTAATGTTGTCAGGGACAGTTATTCCTATCAGTCATCTGGTCTCTTTTCAATGAAGATTGCATGTGGCATGTGGTCAGAGGATTAATTACGCTGTGGTTGTTTGATCCTTTGTCATCTTCACTGCCAGCTGCAGGCTAATGTGTTGGATAGCTACCAGTCTTGATGTGTCCTTGCTGTTTGAGCTGTATTGTAAATAAAGGGCAGTGTTTGTTTGGATTACAGGTTTATGTTTAACCAGACCTTTATAATTGTGTGGCATGAAAACAAAACTTGTCTCACACACAACTAAGCTAATGGAGAATGATCTGTGTGATCTTAGCCTTATCATAGTGTATGTCAAAATTTTACAGTATCAAATGTGTGCAGTTTTGACAGAAATCACCAGTTCACAATCATTAAGTGCAAAATGTTCAAAAACGTTTTCAGTTTGTTCAGTCTGCAGTGTGGCAGCAAGTGGAGTGACTGCCAGTTTTTTCGTGTGTCAGCCTTTGCTCACGCTCACTCACACACCACCTGGAGCGGTGTTGAGGACTCTGGATTCCAGGTCACTTTCCCAGGCAGCTGCTCGCTCTCTGCCCCTCTAAACCTCTGTCCTCTCTGCTCAGGCCTGCTCTTTGGCAGAGCCCCATGCCCTGCTGCTGCTCCATTAGGGAGGGCTTTAATCTCCATCATTGCCAGCAGCCTGTGATGTAGTGACTCTTCTGCCCCGTGACAATGCCAGGCTGATATGATGGGGAATTTTCAGACTATTACGCTGCAGAATAGATTTTTATCACCACTTGTTTGCACATAGATGCCACTGTCTTCTAAAACAGCCGCTCCCAAGGTAGAATGACACCAATCATCTCTCAGTGTGGCTCACACAGTACCCATTTGCTTTCCTGCAGACCACATGTCATCGCAGGCTGCCGGCTTTGTTGACCATGATGAACATTTTTACTATTTCAAAACTGATAAACACTGAGCTCTTTTACTCGTAATGAAGTACATGCATCCTAACAATTAACAGCTGGTTCATTGACTCTTTCACCGCTTATGCATTGTGCATATTTTTGCATGTGAGTGCTTGCACGGTTGTTGACCTTTTGGTTGAGCGACTTTCCTCCTTGCTGAAGGACAGAAAAGAACACACAGCCTCAGTCTAAGGTGTGTAAATAATATATGTACATTTAATGGTGTTTTTTCATAAATTTCCCCAATAGCCTGATCTTGCTGGGAAATCTAGGTCAGTGTCAGAGGCAGGAAGCAAAGCATGTATCATAATATTGTTGGTGACATGCATTGAAACCCTGGGCCCAGCCCACCCATCAATAATAGACTCAAGATGATTAAAAACTCTCACTCATGTTTTGTTTTTCCGTTGGGCAACTTAGCTCCTCTAAATACAGCACTATAATCTGTGATCAAATCCCAATTTAATATTTAATCATGTGACGTGCACTGAATGTCCTATGTAGGATCAAAACGGTGACTCAGTACTGACCTTCTCCTCACATCTAATGTGCTCTGTGTGATCTTGTCAGAATGCTTCATATTGTGTGACACCAGTGGGAGGGAGGGAGGTATTAACATTGAATTCATCTTGCTGATAGGTGATGAATAATGGCAGACAGTTTACCAGGAAGTCCTCAAAAAGTAATCATTAAGAATTGCTATGAAACACTGTCCCTTTTGCCATTTCATGCACCCACCATTCCTGCAAAGCAGAGTTACAAAGTACGTTTAAGTTTCCATTCAGGCCCAGCAATATATAGAAGTTTTTTTTCCTCAACAGAATCTGTTCACGATTCTTTTGTCACATAAGTCTAAGTCAGCATGTAATGGTCCAGATTTAAATGATGTGTAAACCACTTATTTGTCACAGGCACATGGTCTCTGTGCCAGTCAGTTCTGGAGAACACACTCAGTTAAGGTGACATGCATCCAGGCCGAGGGCATTTGGCCATAAATTTTGCTACATCACTGATTCATGAGATTTAGATTTGAGATTAATAGCAGCTAAACCATGTGGCCGCATGTGATGCTTGCCTCCTAAACATCCATCAGAGAGATTGATTAAATCTCTCTGATATAAAATGCATCAGAGAGATTGATAAAGCAGGACACTTCTAATCCAGTTTCTGAGTAATTCGCCTTAGGTTCATACTAGGGTCATTTTCATTTGGCTTGATAAAACTAGTGTGTTTTTATTTTATTTTTTTTAATACCTAAAATCAAAATAAAAGGTTGGGGGTATTTTGTCCTTCATATGTAGCAAACCACAAAATCAATGTATTTAGTTTTTTAACATTTACCAATACTGACTACTTATATTCCTCATCACTCTACCACTGAGCATTGAGGATAATCCCCTGAGTTTAATCAAGGCCGTCAGGTTTTCTCTCATTCTCTCACTTTTGATCCAGCACAGTTAGCAGCAGGCAGCAACTCTTATTAATGGGACAGTGTCGCTGGCTGCCTGGAAGCCAGTTGCAAATCTGGGGTAGTGGGTTATCAGCAGAGGAGCTAAGGGCATCCGGCGCCCAGGCTGCAGACAGATGCAATATGTTGTTGGTCAGCATGGCACAAGCACTCGGGCGACACAGACACATAGTGTGCTCCCCAAGGCTTCAGCATCTGTTTTCTGTTTAAACTCTTGTCTGGTCATACCAGAGACTAGACTCAGCACTGTCACTGTTGCATGTCTGTGCACTTACTGTTAGGCAGTAGCAGTAGCTGGGTAGTTAATAGGGTTCTACTGAGAAAGAAATTCAGCCATGACCTCATCTGCTAGGACTGATCAGGAAAACTTGGTTGTGATTGGCCAGGGAGTTCAGTCCTGGAACACGTACGCAGCATGCTCTCATCCGCACCACTGCCCGCAAACATCATCTGATGCTCTGGACCGGGCTACTGATAGTTTGTGAAGTTGACTTTATCTATGTACAACACATCTTATTGTTAGAGAAATCTGCTCTCAGTTCCGTCTATGCAATGTGTGGTTGTTCTCCATCCACTCATAAACCTAGTGGCATGTGAGAAATGAGAAAATGTGGAAAGCAAACAAAATGAAATTCAATTTAAAGGAAACAGAATAATAAGAATAATAAGAATAATAATAATAAAAAAACACCTTCAGGGCAACAAAAACATCTGGAATGCTGGAGCAAAGCAGCAGCAAGATGAAGCTCTAGTGAAAGATAGCATATGGCATGAGGCCACGGAGCAGGTGATTGCTGTTTCATCTCTCCAGAGTATCAGTGACCCCAGTGACCATGTTAAAAGGAAATAACTTGATTTAAAACTGCACTGCAGACAACCAAAGCAGCTGGTAGACATGAGCCGTCACTGGGAAAGTTTTGGCACAGTGCCATCAGACCAACACACTACATCAGTCAGTGGGCACACTGTAACAGAGTTCAGTTGACTATGGGTTGACAAGTGAGCATATATTTCTCCCTCTGCTTAATATATCCATCAGAGTCAAGATCAAACTCTTGGCAACTTTGTAGCATTAAAGCCATTTAAATGTTTTAATTGCAAATGAACATAAATCATTTTGCAACGTTCTTCTTCATCTTTTAAAAGTTTTGTGGGAGTGAGTGGCTTTGGAACTTGTCTCCGACTAAGAGCCTGGCAGCTTCTTTATGGGCCAATAACACTGTGCCCTGCAGGGGAACAGAGGCCAGAGAAAAACTGAAATGAAAGCCTACACTGGGAATCTATTTTTTCAGGAATGTCATGCTGCTCCTAAGTTGCCGCTAAAAGCTGGTGTGACAGCTGATCAAGAATTATGCCTTTGAAAGAAAGTGAAGGTTTTCTTATTTAATGTTGGAGCTTCATGTCTTCCTGTTCTGGCTGTCCACCAACTCTTTCAGATCACTTACTGTATCACCCTCTGAACCAGCTCTTTAATCCCCAAACTATATGTCTGTGTATTCACTGTCAGACTATGTATAAAACATTTGTGTGAGATGAATCTATGGAGAAGATGTGTCGTGTCAGAGTGTCAGACATTACTGCTTTATTCATTGAAACAAGTATCAAACATCAAAGTGCATTAAAAATATGTAGCCTTGCTATATTATCATCTGGTGCAAACCAGTGTCTGTTTCTGCCTATACAAAAAGAGACATCTGTACTGCAACAGCAGTGAACAATAGATGACTGCATGGCCTCATCCATTGGCCTGATGTGGACAGTCTGTCACAACTGCAGACATTGGGTTTTTGCTGCAACAAATCCCTGTGTCAAGGCCCTGAATGTATCCTAGGCCTCTCTTTTATCTCCAGCCCTATAGCATTGGGATTACCGTCCCAAAGGAGAGGGGAGGCGACACTAGACTGAAAACTGCCACCCCCAGCACTGTTTTTGTCATTGTGCTCTCCAGCCCAGATCCTTTACTGCCCCCAAATATTATATCGAGTTAGGCGACAAAGAACTATGAAGCAGTTTACTGTTTTCAGGGAGGGGGGCATTTCTTTGATTTATAAGATGTCCTGAAACAGGAGCCTATTACAGCTGAGCTGACACCCAGAGGTCAAGAGCAAAGTTCTTCAGTTATGTAATAGCCTATGGGATGTTCTCACATGCCAGAGGAAAAGACTGAATAGCCAATCAAAAGGCCACACTCCTCTCCCTGGAGTCAAACTGCTGCTGTACAAACATGTCCACCCCAAAGTTTATTTGTATTAGCTAAGTTTAGGACTGTTTATATTCTGGTCAGAGAATATGTCTTTAAAAACTTTGCCAGCGACCTCACAAATAATAGACAACAAGCATAAAATAATGGCCTAATAGTTTTAATAAAGTGATACTTTTCTTAAAGCAGTGTTTCGCATCATGTTTGCGAGTATCCTCGACGTCTAAAAAAACAAGCGAAGTGCATTTTCTTCCTCACAAGGCATATGCAAAACAGATAAAATAACAATTTAAATTTTCCATTATTTACCTCCATATTGGCTTGTTGGCAGTTTTCCTCTTCACTGGCTGTTCTGGCTCATTGTGACATGGAAAAAAAACAAAACGGGGGCTGACTCATAAACACATCTCTCCATAGCGCTTTGGGCCAAAACCTCCACAGGATACCTTTTTTACTTTCGCAATATGTGTGATGTGTCTCTTCCTTCCCCCGTTTTTCTGTGCAGGGGGGGACACCTGCAGCCAAGATGGAGGTGAAGACGTCACTCCTAGACAACATGATCGGGGTGGGCGACATGGTCCTCCTAGAGCCCCTGTCTGAAGACTCGTTCCTCGAAAACCTGAAGAAACGCTTTGACCACAATGAGATCTACGTAAGTCTACTGTTTTATATTCAAATGATAATTGTATGAATGTAACTGAATGTCATTTGAGTAGCAGTGTAACAGTATAGTGACTCTGGACACACTTTATGTGATTGTAAGAGTCACTTTAAGTTAGTCTTCTGCCTCTAAAGTCTGTTATAGAAGGCTTCACCAAGGAAACATGCAGATACAATTTCATAACCCCATTGTTCCTCCATTTCCTCACTCATTTTAGCCTTGGCTACAGAAGTGGCACAGATACAGAGACCACAGTAACCAGCCAATCAGTAAATCACATCACCAATGAATGTAGATGATGCCTTTAAATGAGGCGTGAAATCCAGAGCTCAGGGACAAGGAGAGGCTGGCAGCCTGGTTGGGCTGTATATCTAGAAAAAAAAAGGGGTGGGGGTTGTTAAACCATCATCCCTGCATCAGACAATTGGTTCTGGGTTTAGCGCTGTGGCCCTCCACGATTCTTCTGCTCTGCAGGTCGGCTCCTGTAGATGCCAGCCGAGATGATTACAGCTCTTTTCCGGCTGCTGTTGGCTCACAGGACCCAAGGGATGATGTCACCTCATATAGCAATGATTGCCTTAGTGGTGGTCTAGATATTTTGCTGAGATGCAGCCCACATCCTGCTGAGGAATTGGAATGGTGTTTTTACTTTTTAGATGCCCTCAGAGCTCAGAGCTTTCTATTTCCTGTGTGGCTCTGACCTAAATGTCGTGGAGTAGTTAACCGTGCACAGTGCTTTTTAAAGTAATTTATGTAACATATGCTCCTCCAAGAGAGGTTTTAGTTACACTGGTGAAAATTCTTCTGATGCTCTTCTTTTTACTTTAGTACTGACTGCACATGAAGTGAAAGTAAAGAAAAAAAAAAAAAAAACATTCATGGAAAGGTGGGAATCACATGGTTCTGGGTCCATAATTGAAGCTTTTTGGTGGCATAAAAACTGCACCTCAAGATTGATGACCAAGAGAAGCTCTGAATCCTATACTTATCCAATAAATCTGTGGTGTACAATCCTTGCATGTGAATGCATTTTCCCCTCTGTGGAATCATTCCTTACAAATGGTCCCAACCCCCACCCCAAACTATCATATGACAGCTCAGGGCAGAAGAAACATGGCTTTGTTTTCCAGAGGGACAGCGCATCATGTATCCAATAACTTAAGTGGAAAATCAAAGGGAATGAAAATCGCCCTGCTAACTGCTTGTTATGTCTCACTGAGCAAGAGGAATTACTGAGAATGTCAGTGCTACTCAAAGTTTATTCAACTTGTAAAGCCCTCCCCATTTTTACCACTGACTCTGCGTTGTGACTGTCATGATTAGGTGTATTGCATTTTCTTTTTCCACACCAAAACTGCAGCAGGATGAAATGGCACCTCATGAAATGGCATTCACTTAAATGAATTCTCTGAGTTGTAATTAACAGATGTCCTGATGTGTTATAGTAACCATCAAAGTCTTATTTTCATGACAGTTCAGGTTAAGAGATCACAGTCCCTAACCTATATTCTTTTTACGTAGCAGCTGATCTGTCAGCCCCAGCCATTTTTAATTCATCATGACTTCATGACTCTAAGTGACTTGTCACATCCAACTCCCAAGTTGTCACTTGATAAGCAATTATATTTTTTTCATAAACAGACAGATGAATAGGTACATTGTCTTGCACATAGATCCTAAACTCTGTGTGTTTTGTGGTTTAGAAGCTGAGTGACAAAAAGAAAGAAAATTGGATTAATTTATGTAGCTGCTGGGCATACGATGTGTCATCCAAGCAGCTGTAATATTCATGTAGCAGATGGAGTTTTATAACAAGCAGGAAGGCATCTCTACAAATGCAAAAGGAAGAAAAGATAGCGCAGCATGCATGATGCTGTTTGCATTATTGGTCTGTGCTGATGAGACATGACACTTATTTCAGTTTTAACCGTAGGCTACAATGCCACCCCAACCTTTTTACTGCAGTGGAGGAGGTCAAAAGATTGCTGAGAAACCTTCCTGAAGAAAATGAGCTACATGATACTACTAGCAGGCAGGGGGCAGAAATGAAAAAAAAACAAACAGTAGAAATATATGAAGACCGGGGTTTTTTGGCCCCATCAGAGCACAGAAAGTCATATTTTTGGTTTTACCTTACTTGTTTTGGATTTAGTGTGTTAAAAGCCCCCAATTCATAGCTGTTTTAACACCAGTTTTCTGAGATGCTTTCTGTGATTTGTTAGATGATCTCCATACTTGTTAAACAATGTTTTTCTGCTTTATTCTTTTCCAAGAGAATCCCTCCATTAACGCATGATACTTTTGTTTACATTGCACACACTCTTTCCCTTTTTGTACCCGTCCTCTGCACTTGAAAAGGCCTCATTCTGCCTCTGGTGTGCTATTGAACGAGAGGCTGTGGGAGGTTGTGGTGTTGCCACGGGGAAGGCCATGCTCCACTCTTCCCAGAGTGGGTTATGCAACAGCCATTACCATGGAAAGCAAAGAAAATGTTTCAGGTTGATGTTTGAAAGTGCTATCTGGGCTCTGTTTTGAGCGTAGGAGGATGATAAAGATGATTGCTGGTTACATTTGCTTTCGAAAATATCTGACAAGTGTTATTTGCTGAACAGGACTTGTGTGAGTGTTACATAAAGGTGTTATTTTATGTGAAACGGAGAAAGCAGTGCTTAAATGTCTACCAATTTATTATTTTTTGATTAAAAACCCACTGCTGACAATTTTGATATCTTGCATTTTAATTACATATTATGCAAGTGACTGATGTGACAGTGTTTTTTTTGGGAAACATGAAAGATTTTCATTTCTTTCAGTTTAAGTTGTTTTTGTTAACACCAAATGCTAATATCTAGGTCTGATATTGGTATGGCAGCATGAACACTTGCACACGCACACATACACTTACACATACCCTCCCTTAGCATCATGACCTCTTTGCGCTGTGTTTACTGCCCGGCCCACAGATTCCATGAACCTTTCATTTTATATGTCTTCAGTTTCACTTCAGGCATTGCATGTCTCAACACTGCATTAGTAATACCCAGCTGAGAGAAGCTGACAGCAGCAGAATTCCTCCTGCCTCGACTCAGCAATTAACACCCAGATGGACAGAGGGGAGGAAAGGTTGTTGGAAACAGTGCTCCTGTCAGTCTGTGCAAAACCTGAGGAAATGTCTTGTGGATTCACACTCACTGCCCCCCCCCCCTTTTTATTTTCTTCTCCCCCACAGACATACATCGGCAGTGTGGTGATCTCTATGAACCCCTACAGGTCCCTGCCCATCTACACACCTGAAAAAGTGGAGGAGTACCGCAACAGAAACTTCTATGAACTTAGTCCACACATGTGAGTTCTCCCTGGTCCTTTCCAAAACCAGGTTTTAAATTTGATTTCTTTCATTTGAAATCTTTTTTTTTTTTTTGTTGTTGTTGCTGCATCAATGAACCGGTGAGGATGGCACTTCACAAAAAGTATTTTTCAAGGCACTGTTAGTTTGAATGAGTTGAGCAGGAGCTGTCATATGTTGAATCTGTTGAGGATACAGCGTATTGCAAACCTCTGTGAGGATTATCAGTGTGGACCCGGTGACTAATGCGGATGGCTAGGGGCGGACTGAGATCAGAGGGACACTAGCTCTTGTGTGGAGAGTCCGTCTGCAGCTTCTGCCGGCCATTCAGCACCGTGGCATGCCATCTGTCCATTGGCAACATTAAGTCAGCATTGCTGTGAGGCTGCCAAGATAAAACAAAGCCCAGCACTCGTCAATTAGCCTGCTGTGTCTCTAGGCTGCAGCAAAACCCCTCAGAGACACAGACTGAAAGAGCGAGAGTGCCCTTCTCCCAGAACAGACATACTCCCAGCAGACAAAAGCAAGCTCCTTGGCTCTACTTTACAGCCAGCTATACAGAACCGACATGACACAGTTTCACACTGTTTAGCTTTTATTTAACTTTTTTTTCCCTCCTTTTGTTTTTCCAATGCCTGTCTCTTCTATCTTTTCTTCGATTAACTGGTAGGGACTACTGGTGCAGACCATGAGTTTTTCTCATGGACAGTTACTCAGTGCATTGTTGTAGAATTTCGAAGGTTGTCTTAATTTACCTGCTCAGTGACTTTAATCGCCCAAAACAGCAAACACAGCTCACAGGAAACACCTCCTGCCTTTAAACACAGATGTAGTTATGGATGTGAATAGAGAACGTCAACTGTCATTGTTTTCCTTTTTAAAAGATTTTGCTTAAAACCTTTGTGTTGAAGATAGACTGCATTGCAATCATGCATATTGCTAGAAGGATGATCTAAGGATGGTTAAACGTGTTGTTGTTGTTGAACGCATTACCACAAGATAATTTAGGCAGTTAGCTGACCATTTGTCAAAGACTTTGCAAGATCATTTTCATACCATACTGACATGAGCTCAAACCAGTGCCTGCCTTTTTAAAAGGAAATTCATGTAAAACATGAAAGATCTGTATGATAGAATATGCGAAAACACTGCTATGGTGCTGCAATAGAATACACAACCCTATAATTTCTGTCTAAACTGGAAGCGCTGTCAAACAGGTAAAAGAAGAAGACACACAAGTGTGCAACATATCTCACTGTTCAAGCTCTGCTCAAAACCATCTCAGTTTCTGCATGTCTAGTGAGGGATGAAACAGAAATTGTATCCGCTGAGTGACATGTGAATCCTCTAAACATGTTAAACATCACCTCATCATTAGTCTTTAAGTAAAGCAGATTAAGCTCTGTTTAATGGGACAGTCTCTTATAGAGGACCTAAAATGCCAGTCAAAGGCAGATTGTTTCAACATGCTACATAAATTCATCTTAATCCCCCCAGTCTGACCATCTGGACCAAGCTTTGTGGCTTTGCATTGATCGTCCTCAAGTAATGTTAAACCCCAAGTCTGATCAAATGCTTCAGCCCCGTTATTCTCCACTCATTTCATTTTGGGCCCAGCCTGACATCATACCATCAAGTGTTATTATTATATTTTATTTATTTATGTAGCCTCCCACATTCATGGCATTGATGGCCACTGAATTTGCCAATTTTGATCTGTGTATGTTTGGTGCAGATGTCGCTGTGACATGTTTGGCATCACAACGGCTAGCTCCAAAACTGCTGTTTGCATGTTTTTTTTTTTTTTGTTTTTTTTTTCTTGATAGCCAGCAAATTATTTACAAATACACTGGAGAGAGAACTGCTGTTACCATAGGATAACTGCTCCTTTTAAACTACAAATCTCCTCTTCACAAGTAGTAACACACTCTGATAAGCTAATGTAAAGCTAGAGAGGAAATTGATACTGGACTTATGGAACTTCTGGTTAGAAAACAAGCATTTGTTCCCATGTCAGAGTATTCATTGAACAGCATATTGTACGTTACATGTGTTTCGTACTTTTCATCCAGTGTTTATAAAAACATGAGACATTTTTAGTATTTCCCCAGTACTGCCTGCACCTCTAACTCTGCAGTGTTAGTGTAGTTTTTAGAAACAATTTGGATTTTTTTTTTTTTTTTTTTTTTTTAAATCTCTAAACTTAGAGGCAGCTGGATAGTTGTGGTTTGGAAGCACATTTGGATATTGTAATTTGAATATATTTGACTTGACTGGTAATCAAAGCAGAGAAACGATTATTCATCACTGCATGTGATTGAAATTCATGGTTTGTCATGCCTTAAACACAAAGAAGCAATTCTTTTTTTTTTTTTTTTTTTTTTTTTTTGAATGACTTATTTCCCCATTTCACTTATCACCACATTAATGTGTGGAAAGTCTACATTTTAAGACAACAGAAAATACAAAAGAACAGTATGAACATTTTGTAGACAATACTCCAGAGTTCTGTAATTCTGTTAAACAAAAGAAAAAAAAAAAGAGAAAAAGAGATGATGGCGAATGTTGATGAGATAACTCCCAGTTCCCCATAATGATCCCAAACCAGAAAGAGTTCCTGTTTTTCATGACCCTGTTTTTTGCATGACTGAGCCTCATCTGGCTGAGGGGCATTATTGCCACAGTGACCGGCCAGTGCTGACGGGGATCAGTGTTGGACTTTAATTAAGGTAACAACGGGAGGTCCGAGGAATCTTCCTCTTCCTGTCTTTGATCCTCATTAGACACTTGAACGCTATAAAATCAGCAGCTCAGAACAGGTCGCAGCAGACGAGGCCAAAGTGCCTTGGATTTGCCATGGCCTCTAAATATTTTAGGATGGGTGCGTGAAGTCGCATTGACCTATTTTTGTGTGGCAAAAACATACACCCTGTGTTATGTTAAAGTGGTTGGCGACTGAAGGCATCAACATTCATCAAAGTATAGTATTTTTCTGATTTAGGGCTGCAAAGTAATGCAAGATCTTGATCATTTCACATATTTTAAAATTTTAAAAGCTTGACAGTCACTGTCTTGAACTGAACTAAAATTGTATGATTGGCTGAAAAAATATGTTTTCCATATGAAACTTTTTAAAAAGATTTGAATCCATGGTGTTGTATGCTGTTGGAAGTTGGACAGAAAGCTTGATGGACGAAATTAGCATGAAGCTACTAGCTTGACTGAATTTCTCACCTTACTGCCACTGCAGAGAACAAATAACAAGCCACAGATAACTGCTCAACCCTTAAACTCCCTTTCACACCTCTGTGTACACACACACACACACACACACACACACACAGTGGAAGTAACACTGCCATGTTCGAGATCAGCAGCACCCATTTGGACTTTCAAGTTTAAGATTTGTACACAACCGTGTCACAATATTGTGTGAGAATGTCACAAATCAGTTTTTTCTGTCTGTCTGACAGAACAATGTGCTTATATAGTCAGTCCCACTGTGAAAAGCCATGCACACAGTGACAAAATGTCAGCTGATGCTCTCCCTAAAACAGTCACTGGCCCTGTGTCTACAGAACACATAGCACTGTCTGCGTATGAAAGATCAGTCATTGTCTAGCTTGATGTTGTGGACAGTCTGTTCACATGAAAGATGCTTGTGATTTTAGGTTATTTATTAAAGGACAGGGAGAGTGTGTGTGTGTGTGTGTGTGTGTGTGTGTGTGTGTGTGTGTGTGTGTGTTATCCAAGGATGTTTTAGATACCTTGTGTATGTGTGGTATTGCTTTTGTATCTCTTGCATGAGTAATGAATGTATGCAGGTGCTCATGTATTTTACACCTGCTCTTGTACTTCCCAGACGTGTGTGTGTGTGTGTGTGTGTAAGAAGAACTGCAGCTGGTCCCCTATCTGTAAAGTTGTTAGTAGACTAATTGCCTGTTAAATTCCATTTTAATTAGTGTTATTGCTGTTAACCAGTGGCTCATGCTCAGGTCAGAGACCAGTACAATGCAACAAATCAACCAATTTAGAAAAAGTCACTCAGCATGTTTCCATGTTGTCAAGTGAATTTTACCTAGACTTGCCAATGTCACAACATGCATAGGTGATTCAGGTACATTTTCATCATCCAATGGGAAACCACCACCATGACAGCAAACTTGGTTATAAATACAGACGGCAATGTAATCAGACTTCTGCAGATTGTGACGGATCTATTATTCTAGCTATTTTTAAATCATGGCAGGAAATTATTCTACCATTAATCAGGACAGCCCAACAACTTTGCAATATTGAAATATTTTGAGAAATGTGATTTGTTTTTGCTTTTTCCTTTTGTCCTATTAAAAAAAAAAAAAAAACTACCTGAATGTAAACCCAGCTGGAGAGTTTATTCATGTTACCACAGACCTGCCATCTCATCTGTCCATCATTTCCTCTGCCGCCCAATTTAGCAAAATGCTCTTTGCCCAGATGAGGCACCTCCATAATTAACTGGCAGGTGTTTTCTTCCCTTTCACACACACACACTGAGCATTAGAGATGAACTAATCAGAGACCTTTTTTCCATGCACAGCAGCACTGCAGATGGCCTGGTGTCGTCTTTTGTATGTCCCTTGCTGCCTAAGCCAGACACTGATTGAGAGAAGTGTGTGTGTGTGCATGCGTGTGTGGACAGGAGGCTAGCCCCATGTCTCTAGGGTAAGATCATATTCCCCAATGTTTAATGAGGTATTGAGACCCCCAATGCTCTCAGCGCTCAATACCTAGCGCCACTAGAGCATTGGTTACAGGGGGGCATCACGACTGGCTAATGGAGCAAAGAGGCCCCATGCAAGGCATGTGTCTGGGCTTTCAGCTGTCATGCGCACGGTTATGACAGCTTGACTGCAAAATGTGCTTTGTTACGGAGTTTTGACATCCAGGAATATCTTCTGCTTTTTCTTGCAATGTCAAATGATAGCATGCTTTCTGAGGATGTGGCTTTACGATCCTG